AGTAAAATCAAAATAATAATGTAAAAAAAATTGTAGAAGATGAAGATGAAGATAATAGAATGAAATGAATTGATAATTTGATATTGTCGAATGTTGATAATTTGTAAATTATAGAGAGTAGAGAATGAGAGGATTGGTGAGAAAAAATGTTGATTAGGAAGTGAGTATTTATAGAAAAAATACAAAAAATAAAAAATAAAAATTCAGTGACGATAACGGTCACTGATTTTGCCTTTTTATATTTTTAATAAAACAAGTCCACGAGCGTCTTGGCTCATGGGCTCGTCTATAGTACCAGCCGAGCGGGCTCGGCTTGTCTAGCGAGCTAGCTCGCTCGGCTCGGGCTCATGGGGCTGCTACAGTACGAGCCGTGCGGCTCGATTGACACCATTAGAATATGACCTTTGAGAAGGCAATGTTTGTGGATCATGGTTGAATGTCACTGAACTGTCGAGGCTTGGTTTGGGGCAAGTCTGATCCTTGCAGCCCCTATGGACAAAGTAGATCAGGTCTCTAACTAAAAGGAAAAATATTTTGAACACAATGTTCTAAAGGCTTGGTGATTATCATGGCCTCCTTTGAGATGCCCTACCAACTGGTGGGGTCGATNGTGAAATGGATTAGGGTTTGAATAGATGTTATATTTAAAATAAAGTGGGTGGGGGTAGATAGTGGGGTGGGTATATATGTTATTTTAATTTTATAAAATCATTATTAATTAAAATTATAAAAACCTGATAATTGAATAAAAAACTTAAAAACCTGAATTTTTAAAATGTAAAAGAAAATACATGGTTTGGTGTAATTTCCTCTAAAACAAGTCCATGAGCGTCTTAGCTGATGGGCTCGTCTATAGTACCAGCCGAGCGGGCTCGGCTTGGGCTCATGGGGCTGCTACAGTACGAGCCGTGCAGCTCGATTGACACCATTAGAATATGACCTTTGAGAAGGCAATGTTTGTGGATCATGATTGAATGTCACTGAACTGTCGAGGCTTGGTGTAGGGCGAGTCTGATCCTTGCAGCCCCTATGGACAAAGTAGATCAGGTCTCTAACTAGAAGGAAAAATATTTTGAACACAGTGTTCTAAAGGCTTGGTGATTATCATGGCCTCCTTTGAGATGCCCTACCATCTGGTGGGGTCGATCATAAATATAATTCCACAGTTGAACTTGTTTATTAACATTCATTCATTCTGAGTAGCAGTTTCCTCGGCTTCTTATATCAGCTGTGCTAGCCAGTCATGAAATCAAAATCCTTGGCCTCAGCTCTCTCTGTTCAACGGCAATTTGCTTCTCCAGTTCAGCAATTTTGCTCGAAAACTTGCTAATTTATAGGGGACGGGGACAAATATGCTTTTGAAAAATAAATAGTTCCAAGACAGTCTTGGTGTGTGAAGAAGGTCGAGGCTGTCTGGTTGGCTTGGGAACTTTCAGTGGATGCATTTTCTTCTAACGTTGTGTCAGTTGCAAACAGAATGGTTGAACTCATAATGCTAACCATGTGGGACTGTAGTTAATGTTGGGAAATATGTAAGAAAATCTAAAGAAAACTAATGAACTCCAAGGCTCGAAAATCGTTATCTTTTAAGAGATGTTTCTTTCTGTTAGGAGTAGTTTACACAGTTAGCTCACAAAACAATCTATATAAATGTGCAAGAATTCAGAACTAAGAATCTGAAAATATAACTTCATGTAAACAGAAGTTTATACACAAGAAATAACCAAACTATAAGCATAATAATTTGTAAAAGCTGGAAACGAAAATAAGAAACTCTGGACTTATCTTCTATTAGGCCCACAGGCCACAAGTCATCAACGAAGGGTTTCAATCACTCAAGAATGACCACCACCATGCTCGAATCAGACCCAAAGTGAATATACAAAAGTATGGCACTCAGACTTGACCGATTATTACACAAAATAGCAGATCTCTCTTCACAACTCAAGGTTCACACAAGAACCGAAACCTCAAACAGAAAATCACACAAGATTTTGCAAGATATTGAGAGAAATCAGAAATAAAATGGTGTTTTATTTCTACAGTGAAGAAGAACACGAGAGAACGGCGCACAGAGAGAAAATGGAAGAATCTCGAACCAGTAGTAAGTCTCAAACCCTAGAAGACCCGCTTTTATATGAGTCACCTAAAGGTCATCCATCCAACGGTGAAGGAGGCGACACTTGGCGACATCACGTGCGTTCAAACTCAGGTAAGATAAAACACGGTTTCATCAGATTTCCCAAAACACGTTTTTACCAATAAATCAATAGATCAATTTGGGCTGGACTTCAATTCCAACTGGGCTTCCAAGTTTAGGCCCAATGGTCTTTGCATCATTGTGCCAAACAATCCTTTCACTTTCCTATCCAACAAAGTCACGATTGAGGTATGATAGAAAATCTTTCTCAGGATACAATTGAGGCGTTTGATTCAAACTGTGACTATTTGATCATTTCGCAAATGGGAATTCATCCAGAATATATAGAAATGGAGGCAACATTTTGAATAGGTGTGTCTTTTGAAATGAATGAATGTATCTGTTGGAAAAAACATACATATTCAAAAACTTCTGAAAATAAAATTCATTTTCGAGGGACCCCCCGAACCCCCACGTAGAGCACTGCCCCCTCGACCCCCGCGACCTGATCGAGCAGGTTGATTCCCATTGCGTAGCGACAAACACTAGTCGGGACGGTAAAACATTCGCAAAACAAAAGATGAACATGCAAAATGATGAAAAAATCTAATAGTTAATATTGGTAATGGATACGAACAGGATGGTTGAGCACAAGGAAAGACATGTTTTTGGCAAAATGGCAATGACTTGAGTCGTGTTTACTTTTGTGTAAAATACCAATCCAAATAGATGGTTTCTTTCAAACATTGGTTGGATTAACCATTGTATTAAATGGTATTGAACATGTTTCTAATCTCTTTCCAGGAAACAAATAAGCTATGTTTTAGCAAAATTATACTCAATTTCACGTAACATTTAAGATGAGCTCTATAAAGGGCATATTAGAGATGAGTTGTTGCCAATACGAGGAAAAAGCATTCTCAATGCTCTAACGTTTACACTGAATATAGACTTTGATAAACTATTTTATTTTATTTGTTTTACAAGAGTCAAGAAAATTATTTTCTAAATTTTCAATTTTTTAATTAATTAACTTAATAAAAGTACTTTTTTGTTGATTTGATGTTAGGCGAAGAAAATAAATCTGATACCAAAAATATCCTTTAAAGAAAAAAGAATATTTAATCAAAAATCAATAATTAGAAAATAATATATAAAATGTTATTTATAACTTTTTTAGAAAATAGTATCTTTTGTAACCATTATTAGGTCCCTGGTTGAACCTTATACTTTTTTTTTTTTGAAATAGTGATTTTTTGAAAAATATGTGGCTAAAAAAAGGAAAAATTTTGAATTTACATGAAATATTATTTTACAAGAGAATGTGGTTGAAAATGATTTTTGGAGAAATGAGTTTATAAAAAAAATGGAGCATTTAGTCGAGGTGCACGCAATCTAATCCGGACATCCACGGTTATCAAAAAAAATAAAAAAAATGGAGCACGTGCAAATTTCTATAATACAAAGTAAAGCATAGTTACACCATATATACGATGTGTATTTTGTAAATTTTCCTAATTTCATTTCCAAAGAATTACGTAATGTAAATAAAAGAACATTTAGAGTAATGCTATTTGCGGTGAATACTACTGGTAGTCGTCTTATGGTATACATATGACAATTTGTTATTTAATGCATTAATGTAGTAATTTTTTATAGCCTCGCGCGTGAAATAATAAAATGTCATGTGTATACCACATAATGCGACTACCGGTAGTTTTGACTATCAATTGCATTATTCGAGCATTTATGACAGATAATATATGGCCGCTACTTTCAATTTACCTCCATGTAAATTAAGCAACAGTACAAAGTAAATTAAGCAACAGCAGAATTTGCAATTGCATAACATGTAATTCTCAATCATTACTCAGATATATCAATTTTTAATTGTACTAGATGCAAGCAACGTGCAATGCACGTTTGCGTAATTTATATTTAATAGTTTTGTTTAAGAATTAATTTGTTATTAATAAAAATGTAATTTTTTTGGTTAATTAAATAATTAATGATGTAATGTTTATGTAATTGATAAATAATTAGATGTGTGATTTTGATGTTGTGATGTNCAAATAATTAGATGTGTGATTTTGATGTTTTGATGTAAGTTGGTGAGATCGAAGAAAATAAGCAAAAGTTGACAAATTTAGAGAAATAACTAAATTGTAAGGGATCCAAAGTTCGGGGACTAAAATGTAAATACTTAAAAGTTGTGCCGAACCTCACGATGAAAATTTGAGAGTATTCGAAATCAATTGGATAAAGGAAGACGTCAATGGAATCAAATTTAATCAAAAGATGATCACAAATCAATTTCCAACCGAAAAATTATGCTCCGATATTTTAGTATCATACTGAGACCTATTTTTGGTATAGAAAGTGATCGAATTGGAGAATGATGTCTGAATCAAAATTGTAGCCAGATGAGTTAACTTTCAAATGCATTTTAAATCGCTTCAATCGGACATCGGAATACAAAGTTATGATAAAAATACTGAAAAAAGGTGCAGCTGTCTGTTAAAAACAAAAAATTCCGTTACATAGTCCGTTAAAACAACAAATTCCGTTAGTTTTTCCGTTAAAAATAAGAAATTCCGTTACATAACCACTTTTAATATATAGAAGATATACTATGAGGAAAACTTGGCACATTGTATATATAGTCAATCATAGATTGGCTTTTACGAAACATGGTGTTTTCGACAGCTAATAAACATAGTTATTTATTACAGGAACATGGAGGACGATACAAGGTCGAAGAGTAAGCTCGACCAGCATACAAATAAAAGAACATAACCAATATAACTACTTTAAAACATTGAAAGAACTTCCTTCAAAATTCACCACGGAGAAGACTCTGTCAATGATTGGGGGTGAGGGAAGGAAAAGACGGAATAGATTGAAGTATCAACTTACGGCTGCTTCTCATACTGGGAGACGTCCCTATGCTGTGAGGAGGCGAGACCCTCTTACTGTTGGGAGACGAAGTCTTGATGCAACTGTTAGGAGACGGAGCTTGGAGAAAATCGGGCATTTCATCTTCAAGAACAGTTTCAAGATGCTTATCAAACCTTGTCGAAGATTGGAAAAAGCCTGGTTTCCCGAACCCATGACCGGTGTACAAACCAGAAGAGGAGCCAATAGAAGGAAAAGAAGGTCTAGGCAGTTTGTTCTTTGAGGAGAGTGGATGCTGGACGGTTTGTCTAACAAGAACAACATTAATTGAAACACCTATATTTATTAACAACCTCAGCAATTGGAAACAAAGATGTTCGTAAAATTTTACCTTCCTTGAGATAAAGGTGTTGCAGGAGGGACAGAATCGAGATTCTGCTCCAGATCATTCTGGATTGCGGATTTCTGTATACCCTTCTCGGTTGTGTATGTTTCATCTTCTTCAAATTCAGCTTCTGTGCCTGTTAAACAAAAGCCCAACTCAGAAAGGAAAATAAAATTTCAAACCATAATACCGAGACTCGTAAAACCACACTTACCGTCCTTTCGACCAAATGCATTCTTACACCCTTCACATCTGCAGTTAACGGAGCATCCAACTCCACCCTTCAATTGAAAGATTTTCTGTTAGCTTACAGACTAAAGAAAAGCCGGCAAAAATCAGAAAAGATGAAAAGAAACCTGATAGCATTCACAATATTTCTTCAGGCAACCAGATTTTTTGCAATTGCATCCTCTCTTATGTCGAGCTGATGCAGGAGTTTTGCTGGACTCATCCTGCAATGAATAATTAAACAGAGTATTTTAAATGCGCTTAAGCACCAGGTGAGCAGTAGATAAGTCCAGAATTCACAGACTAACCCTGGCTTCAGATAGATAATCCGAGCTCCTAATCACTTTGGGAGCAAAAGCAAGAGGATTTCTGGATTCAATCTGTTTGCGAGTTGCGAGGACAGTGTCCTCATGGACAGGCTTGTTGAAGCAATCCATACACGCACATGGCTCCACACAGTAGACACCAGCTGCGAAGCATTCACAATATCTGCATTAAGAAAATTTAATTGATTAAAAGCATTGTCAGAAGCTACAAACGGGCTTCCATCCGCATAATGCAGTTTCCGACACTGATACTAGGTTTTCATGAACAACAAAAAGTGTCCAACGCAGGGCATTGAACCTAACCAAAGTTGATGACAGCAAAAAACCTCTTGAATGATGGGGGAAAAACATGAGAACAACAGTTAGTTAGAGAGAGAGAGAGAGAGAGAGAGAATCTTTGTGAAGATCTTGTTACAAAATAATAACCATCAAAGTTCAAGCACATTTAATGGATCGCTTTATCAGTTTAACAAGCAGAACTAATTGCAGTAGGCAAGCCAAAATTTGACATATAGCCATTTCGATTTGCCAAACATGACCATAATAACAACAAACAACAAATAGACTTAAGACTAAACAACATGGAAATACGAGGGAAGTCCCATAAAGTATGATAGCTTTACCGCGTGGGAAGTCTTAGACAAAATACGAGGAAGAAGTCCAATCATAATTGAATAGGGCTCATACTTCGTACATTTATGCCATTGCGAGACAGAAAATGAAGAACTTACAGTTTCAAGCATTTTGATTTCTTGCAGTTACATCGCTTACAGGCTTCACCATCTCCCGCTTGTTCCAACCTACGTCTGAGAATTCAATTCGTGTCATACGTCTGAAAAAGGCTAAATGCAGATGAAAACTAATTGTACAGTAAAGAAGACGTGCCTCTTCTTCTTTGGACTGTTCTGATTGAACTCTTCATTGACCATATATCCAGATGCCTGGCAGGCATCTTCCGCAAGAACACCATTTTCAATGGCACAGATTTCTCTTTCTGCGTTAATAGCCAAAGTATTGTTTAACAATTCTTGACCAGCACTCAAAGGTTGAAAATTGGCATTTGGGCTCGGACCAATCAATAGTCTTCCAGAGCCTAAAGCTTCATGCTTGACAAATTTGTAGTCCTTTGGAGTTGTTGCTAGAGCATTTAAATGCAAACCAATGCCAGGTAAAACGTGATGTGAAGAATCATTTCCAGTCTTTGTAGGAAGTAACTGATCGATGCTGGTAGAAGTATTGCAATCGGATTGCAGAAATGCAGAATGATCAGAAACTGAATTCTCATCAAAACGCTTTCTGCTAGATCCCACCATCTCAAATACCAAACAGCGTCTTCTCATACCACGGTACAAACCAGAAACATGCTACAAAGACAATGAAAATTACTTTGTAAAGGAGAATTTAGTAAATCATCTCAAAACCATACAGAAATCTCAAGTACAAATACTTGCAAAATGCAAATATATACATACATTCGCGTTCTTCACAAATTACACGTCATTATATACAAATGGCAGAGTAGTGTCTATCTTGCTTAATTGAAATGCAATTCTAACCTCATTATCCACTTCCTCAATAGGAATGCTCAAAGAAGAACCAGTAATTATATCATGGGTTTCAGCAATTTCCTTCAGCTCATTTCCTTCACCAGGTTGAGTACATAGATTTTCTGTTTCGTTTTCCTCTTCAGATTTTTCGCCAGAACCCTCTCCACAGAAAGAGTACGTATTCTGCATGTCATTGGTAATACTTGGGTATAAACCTTTTCCTGGATCAACTGATTTCTTGAAAGACTCTGTGTCATTTGGTGATTCAAAAATTAATTGATCTGGAGCATCAGAAATCAAACTCTTCCAATCACATTCTGTGGCTTCTTTATTTTGATCCATTTGGCTTACCCCATCAAGATTCACTTCACTTCCAAATAAACCCCTGTGGGAGGCCTCTTGTACAAATGGAATAAGTGCTGACGAAGTGCAAGCATATTTAGCCATGTGTTTCGTTTTAAGGCCACAGCTAGGTGTTAAGCTGGAGCCAGGATTACTACAATCATACTTGAAGTTCTGTTCGAACTCGACTTCAAGCTTTGAACATTCAAAAGATGGCTCATCAGCTACTTGACCAACAGAATTCGGTTGATCAAGATTTGTCTGATGTTCAACTAATTCATTGCTGGCACTAATAATCTCCTTACTTGTATCGACTGTATTAGCATCATCAGAAGCAAATTCAGGTTTTGATGGATCTGGGAGCTGATGCCTGGAAAGACAAAAACCTACACTCATAATAGATGCAACCAAGATGATACAAATTATATTTACATGGAATTATCAATAAATAGTTACTTACCTCCTGAGAAATCTCGATTCCTTCAGTGAACTAAGGTGGGGGGAAGTGAAAACAGATGGAAGCGATGCAAAACTAAGAGGATTGATTGTCTGAGTGATGTGTATGGACTTAACTGGCTTGATTGGGGAAAGATTGTTGAGAAAATTAAAGACGGGGGAGTCCTGCATGGAAGTGGAAAATCATCATTAATTGAAGAGCAAAAAGCCATAAAAAAAAAAAGGCACAACTTAAATACCAAAAGAGCAATTTTGTGTTGGATGAATATGTAAAACCCAGATACTTATGAAGTAATAAAAAATCAGCAACAATTTTCATACAGGTAGGTTCTACACTCATAATTTCTACATTGATGAGCACTTTCACAACATAAAGAGTGAACATAGCTCAATAAACAAGTAATTCCAAGACGTGCATAGTGAATTCAACAGGTGTACAGAGATTAAATAAGATCCACAAATGAGTTCCCTGTCATAACCCGTGCTCAACTGGTGCACAAGTGACTATTCTAGTCTCCAAATACAAAAAATAAAAGAGAGAAGGGAAAAAAAAAAGCATATACACCATAAAACTCAATGGTCTAAGAATTTTATGAGAACAAGTTTCTCAAATCCTACAGGGAAGCAAAAATTTCGAAGAAGAAGAGAAATTGACAAAATTGGTGAGAAATTATTTTCTAATTATGACAACATGCAGTAAGAATACAGAATCCATTCCCTTAGAAAGATCTGTTGGAAGCAAGAGTCCACAAAAAAACCAAAAAAAAACAAAGTCAAGGATCAACAGACAAACCCACAATTCGAAGACCAGTCGAAAAGGAAAAAAATTGCAATTCTATTCAGTAGCAATGCAAAGCAATTAAAAGAAAACCTCAAAAACACACATTCACCAAATTGCTGAAAACCCATATTCCAAATCTGTTCCAGCAACCAAAAAGAACAAATAACCGAAAATCAAATTAAAAAAAAAAAAGATCCAAGAATAAGAGGAAGCTTTTTGGTAGAAATTGTGAATAGCCACTTCTCAAAGTTTTTTTCCCCCGTGACCAAGAAGCATCAAAATAGATCAAATAGCCTCAGAAAGACGTCTTTGATAGAATAACTCAAAGCCCTACTTACCATGCCAATTTCAAGAAGCCAAACCCCAGAAATCCAAGATCAAGTAAGACAGAGGTCAAAAGACATTTTTTTGCTAAAATTTCTCAAAACCCACCTCTAAAATCCAAGGTCAATTAACAAAAACAAAACCCACCCAGAACACAAAAAGGAAAATGAAGAAGATAAAAGATGAAAACTTTGTGTCCAAGAATCAAATGGTACCTCGAAATTGTTAATGGATGTTGTGATTTGGCTATTCTTAGTCTTCTCTGGAGTGTCCATCACGACTACCGATCTCCCCTTTGCTCTCTCGACACAACTGGCCTTCTCCTCCACTCTATTTTCCTTCACTGAAATGTCTCCCCCACCCTCATCTCTCTTTTGTCTCTATACATGTATGCATCCGTTTATCACTTGCCTATGGACCTGTTATCTGGATGATCCTCCCACAAACACAAACTTTGTTTTCCCTCTCTCAAGTGCGGAAAAAACAAGACATGGGGTCAAGATAGATGCAAATGAAATTCAATAATAAGCGGGAAACAAAGTCAGTGTGTGTGTAGTGAGAGAGTATAGTGAGAGAAAGCCATGGAGACTTTCTCGTGCTGACACAAAGAAATAGTATATCAGACCCCACACACTCACCAAAACATACACAGATGCTTTTACAGTAATGTGTAATTGATACAAATGAAAGTGAAAACCAAGATAAAATAATCATTCCTTTCAAGAATTATCTATAATTCTCCATTAATTTTTCGTAATCGTGTTTATCGGCTATTAATTATGAGCTAATGCTAATTGACTTTGTCAGCAAAAGTCATTTCAGTTCCAAGAATTTCTACACACAGTTTTGCTTTTTAAATTTCGGTTACTATATTTTGTGGCCGTTTTCTTTAGCTGTAATTTTCAGTTTTATTTGGGATATATTTCTTGAATTATTGAAAGTTAATTTCATTTAAGAAAATAATCTTGGACTTTTAATACTCTTTATTGCTCCTTACCTGTTAATCATGAAGTTTTTACTCAAATCTTCAATTTTTTTTATTCTAATAATAAAGAATAAATTAACAATAGATAACGAAAAATTTATATAAAATATCGCATTTTATCAATTCTTAGAGATTTGAAAGATACGTAAAAAGGGATCCAAAAATCTTGAATATTTGTTTGCTACCTCGCTTAATATTACAGTCGAGATTGCTTTCGAGTCGTTGCACGAACTTTTTTTGAGGTATTTAACAATGATTATTTGATTGATAGTGTTTTACTAATTACTTTTTTAGGCAAGTCTATAATCAATCTTAATTAGTGTAATTATTTATGGAAAATCATTAAAAATCTGTCTTCGTATACACCATGCAACATCTGTAAAAAATGAATCTCTTTTTTTTTGCACGTGCATCTCTAAATAGGTAAAATATGGTTTCTTTTTTATTTAAAATTTATATATTTATCGCAATTTTCGTCTAATTTATATTCTTCAAATTAGTATGAATTTGTCGCTTTCCAATGCAAAACGTGTATTAACAACACAACACTTAAAACAAAGACCGACTATTTTAATTTTTTAATAAAACCATTAATTTATTTTCACTTTGTATAAAATTTCATATCAAGTTAGACAAACGAAATAAAGAGTGCGTGAGAACATAATTAGAACTTTAAGGGCCTGATTTCTTTACCATTTTCAAGCCGTTTTCTGTTTTAGATTTTTCAAAACAGTGAAAACGTATTCTCTTTCCTATTTTCGAAAACGCGTTTTCGAAAATAAGTTAAAAATTTACAAAAAAAACACAAAACAACAAATTTATCGTTTTAGGTGTTTTCAGTTATAATCAAGTCAAATTTTCAAAACGCGTTTTGGGTGATTTCAAAACAATTTTTCAAAATATCAAAAAGAACCCATTTTCAATAATCTCAAAATGAACACTCAAAACACAAAACTCAAGATGAATTCTCAACACACAAAACTGAAATACAAAGAGAACAGCCCCAGTGTTTTTGGCTCGTTTAGTAAAGTAAATAAAACCTCTCATCATCAATTTATATTTACTTAGTAAATCTAATATTTTAACTTTTGCTACTTGAATTAACCCTCCTAGTAAATTATTATTTGGTAATATTTTGACCTCGATAGGATTAGTTTTTGGTCAACCAAATGGATACTTGATACCTTTTGCATGTACATTGACAAAGATCCAAAGGTCCATAATTAATATTTTGGCGTGCCACCAATTTTATAGGGCGAGTTGGAGCCACCCGATGCATTACTCCAAATGGTCCCCAAGACATTGATAAAACCAATAAATTACTTCAATGTATAAACAAAATTCTCGTGTTTCTTACTCGATAGAATTTATTATCACACCACACCTTATTAATGTTAGTTATATTATTTTTATGAAATTTGATAAGAAATTAATTGAAAATATCTATAGGAATAGAGACGGTGTATGTACAAGTATAACATTAAATTGTTACGAAACCCTACGAATTCATAATTTGAAAATTAGTGGATTGTGATACATAAATAAAAATATGAACAGGGTCGATTACAATAGTGAAATCGATACAATATTTTACTAGTCAAACTTGCCCAGCTAGCGCTACTCATCTAAGCTTATGTTAGCTCGTCAATTTTAACCTCTTGATACCATCGAGTTTTATTTCTACGTTCCTATGATCATCCCATACGAATCTTCTAAATTTGACCTCATTTGTCCAGTATGGACTAGTTCTCTATCAGCATAGACTCTGTCTTATCATGCTCGATCTTGTCTTTTCGTCATGGACACATCCTTGGCTCTACTCATTCCCATTGCAATTGTTGGTGACTAATTAGTGTATGTTATAACATTGTTTCTTTATATATTTTTCCCTTGTTTGATCTTATGTTCTATTTTTTTTTATAAACCTCTATCAATTGGTACCTACCAACTCTGATTTTTTTTCTTTTAACTTTATCACTTTGTCAACAACTTGTTCTAAACAAAGTGTGGTGGTCCTCTAATAAAAGGGCCAATGGACCCTTGGTGTAAAAAGCCCTTCTGTCACGTGACACATCGTCCTCCATTTCCAACATCTCCACTAAAATATAGCAAGTTTCTTTTACAATGTATTCATAATTAGTATGCACTTTTCTCAACTCCCCACATTCTCTGGAAGAGCAATTTCATGAGTCATATCATAATGTCGACAACATGCGAGGCCTAGGCATGTGATAGACCATCGCGTTTCGAGTTTTTTTTTCCGTATATGTTAAGTTTTGTAGTGTTCAATTCAGTCTAATACTACTTTCCAAATTCCTGATAAGTATTGTGTATATATACTAACACGACAAACTATTCATCTCACAGTATACATTAAACTTCACAAGTTTTCTAAAGAGCAATACATTCAAAATGACTATACTGAATTGATCGTAACAACTAACAAATTGCAAGGACATCATCTGTTTTAATTACATCAAAATCTGTAAGTTCCAGACACTAGTTAAGGATATTGTATAGTTCAGCATTTTATAGGACGATTAACAAGTATAACTTCTTTTTATTTCTTAAACATGTCTAGTGACATAAATCATCAAAATTATATTATTGACTAATAAAGTAATCATAAAATATGTTTCAAATGGAGAGATTAGTCTTTTTTTTTTTTGGGAAAATCAATGGAGGGAACAATTTGTACAACAAAGTAAAATATGATACTTATTCTTAAAGTCACAAAAAGTAAAGATCTAGCAAAGATGTTCTTCAATTTATTTTATGACCAAATCCAGTGATGGTCTGATCCATAAATTGAAAATGTCTTCACTCCTAAAGATTCTATTCAATATAAAACATATCAAAGTTGACTATCTTCACAAACACTAATTTTTAAAATGGTTTGATTTGATTAAAATTTACAAAAGACAAAAGAAAATTTGGTAACATAAACTAATGTTTGGAAAGTGTGTGTTATTCACTCCAAGACATAAATGGCCAGTTTTGTTGCATAACTTTTGTATTTTACTACTTGTACATCAAAATTATAACGTTGAATTAAGTCGAAATTTCTTGTCAAAAGTTGTCATTCAGTATTATTTAGTTCACGCATTCAATTCGTAAGGTTGAGTTTTATTTGTCTATAACGTTTAATTTGTTTATAATTTTTTGAAAAATACACATGTGACACTATGAACTTGTATTAGTTGGTTATACATGTGCAAAATATATTAATAAGGTGTTAGTTTAAACGTCAATTTACTCAAGGAGCAAATACAATGACATTTTGTACTTTTTTGACCTTAATTAATCAAGGTACAAACATTTTTCTACATTCAATGATTATTGATTAGCTTGATGACAAAATTGAGCCGACAATAATTAAAACAAATTTTTTTTTTTCTCAAATTCATTTTCGTAAGTTTTGAATTACCGAATATTTTGACACAACATGTAAAATTATACAATTAAAAGCAATAAGTCACCTTTTAATTATTTTTAGATTATTAATCAATCACGTCAATTTATCATATGTTGCATTATCACAATTTGTAATATGAAAGTAATAAAGAACACTAAATTGATCACGGAGAAATCCCAATTGAGTAAAATTTTTGGACACTTTGTCAGTCAATAATCTACTATAAATCGAAACAAACTTGAAGTATAGTCTAGATTCGTCTACCCCGTAGAACTTCCGATTTCAATCCTACAATCTCCCTTGATCCTAATGGAGGTGTGCTCTTTCAAAACAAATCACAACTCCTAATTTATACTTTAGCCCTCATGGACTACATGCTCCTAACGCTAGATCCCGACTTCTGGTATCTCATTTTAGTCCTCCTGAATTTATGCTTCTATAACAACTCTTGATTTCTGGTATCGATTTATTTCTGGTGGATTAGATGGTTTGATATTTGATCAAATGATCTTTTGTGTTTTGATCTTGTAGGCTGATGCAAAAAGTATTGGAATATGTTTTTGGTTTTCAAAGAACAAACAAGATCTTGACTTACAACAAGACTGTATTAATTGAATCAATATATGAGTTGAATAATGAACAAATAATATTGTGATCGAATCAATGTATCAATAAAAGGATATTTGAATCTTCAAAAAATGATCTTCATAATTAAAATATTGTTTAATAGAGTGTATATTTATAATGAGTTGTGCTTGGGATGAAAAAAAACTCAAAATTAGCTTGAAAATTGAATATTACTATTTTTCGAATAACCACGTCGCTCGAGCTCTAGGTTAGCAACAAGCAAGGGGTAGCTGAACAGTCGTCAGTAT